TACACACCATAAAATAAAAATATTACAGTGTAATTTAGACCGCTCAAAAAATAGCCAACACGAATTCCTTCTCTCTTTCATGGCAGGTGATTATGACATCGCCCTAGTTTCCGAGCCATACACCGGCTCGGGTTTAGAAGTCAAATCGGTACTTGGAATCGACACCTTCCAATTTTCTCAGGGCAACAGGGTAAAGGCCTGCATCCTGGCCAAACCAGGACGCAGGTCCATTCTGGGACTCTCTAAGCATTCATCATCAAACCTCTGCGCAATCCGACTCACAATAGGAAGTCGGAATATTCTCCTCGCATCCGTATATGTCGAACCGAACACAGATCAGTGCCAAACATTGGACCGCCTAGACGCCTTTCTTAAGGCCACAGACGGTTCCCCGAGGTTGGTAGGGGGCGATCTCAATGGGTGGCACCCCATATGGGGGAGCGAAAGGAGCAACCCCAGAGGCTGCGAAATCGTCGACTTAATTAATGGAAATGACATGTTCGTATGCAACGTCGGGAAAACACCCACCTTCGAGACAGTAACCCACGGGCGAGATCGGTCCTCTATAATAGACATCACTCTTGCTTCCGGATCCATCGTAGATCACATCTGCGAATGGCAGGTGAACTTGAACGCCTGTCCAACATCACAACACAATGCAATAGATTTTACAATAAACTTTAACTCGAATCAATCAAAACACACACACCAAAACTCAACATTCTTATACAAATCTAAAAAAGCACGTTGGCCAATCTTCAAGGATACATTACAAACTCAAATGACACTCACAGACTTACTAAACAAAGACATACCCACTCTCAACTCCGAGAACCTTGACCAAACAGTAGACGAACTTACAGAAATAATTCACCGAGCCTGCCGGGCTAGCATGCACACCTCTCGCGGAGGGACCAAACCGAAGGCGCCTTGGTGGACGGAGGAACTGGAGACGCTTAAAAGAAGCGTCATAAACATTCACCGCCAGCTTCATGCCGCCAAGCGTCAGAATTTACCTCTACATGACTTGATCGATCAACAGAAATTATTAAAGGACAGCTACGCACAAAAACTAAGAGATGAGTCGACCAAGCACTTTCGCGAATTTTGTGAATTGCAAACTAAGGAAAATGTCTGGTCACTTACCAACAGATTGCTCAAAGTTACTTCACCCAGGCGCCCACCTGCCACCCTAGATGTAGGAGGTAGGCACACTGCCAATGCTGAGGAAACAGCAAAAGCACTTATTAACCATTTCTACCCTGATGACCAACCCGACTCCTTACCCCGACACCAACAACTAAGATCTCAACTCTCAGAACCTTCACAATCCCACGACGACCCACCTTTCACCGAGGAGGAAGTGTTGGAGTGCCTAAAACAGATGAACCCCAACAAGGCCCCTGGACTTGACAACTTAACTTCTGACATATGCTACCAATTTGCAACTGATTACCCCAAATTACTTACAGATATATTAAATCGTTGCCTCACACTTCAGCACTTCCCTAATCGGTGGAAGGTGGCCTACGTTAAAATCATTCCCAAACCGGGCAAGCCAGACTACAGCACCCTCGACTCTTTTAGACCTATAGGACTGATACCTGTGTTTGGGAAGCTTTTGGAGAAACTGTTCATCAGGAGAATTACATACAGGGCCCAGACTAATAACATGATGAACAAAAACCAATTTGGTTTTAGAGAACAGACGAACACGTGCGAAGCCATCCACACTGCCCTCAGCAAGATAAAAGATGCCAAGTCACACAATCAACTGTCTATAGCCATATCTCTAGACATCAAAGCAGCCTTCGACAACGCCTGGTGGCCCTCACTCTTCCACCGGTTGCGGCACATCAACTGTCCAAATAACATCTTCGGATTAGTCCAGGATTACGTTCGCAATCGGGAAGTCATACTTGACCATGCGGGGGAGCGGGCCACCAAGACGATGTCCAAGGGCTGCATTCAGGGCTCCGCGTGTGGACCCATTTTGTGGTAACATAATATTGGATGAACTTCTTTACATGAAGCTACCCACAGGCTGCCATCTGCAGGCTTTCGCAGATGACGTCCTGCTGGTCGTAACAGCGACTAAAGTCGACGATTTGGAGAGATGTACAAATACCGCACTTACCAGAATCATCGAATGGGGCAACAGCGTCAAGTTGCGATTTGGACCATCAAAAACGCAACTCATCGCCTTCACTCCAAAAGCTAAGACGGCTCGCATCTGCATGGACGGGCATCAGCTCAGTTTCTCACCAGACATCAAATACCTCGGGGTCATCATAGATGAGAAGCTTCTCTTCGGAAAGCATGTCAAGTATGTCATCAATAAAGCAACGCGAATTTTCAACTCGCTCTGTATGTACACGAGACCCACATGGGGTGCTCATCCTGAAAACGTCAGCGCCATATACCATCAGGTCATTGTACCAACAGTAACATACGCCGCCGGCGTTTGGGGACACGTAGTTAAAAAGAGGTGTATAAGGAGGAGCCTCGAAAGCATGCAACGCGGGTTTGCTGTCAAAGCCATTAGGGCGTTTCGCACTGTTTCCACGTCCGCAGCACTCGCATTAGCCCAATTCATGCCCTTGGATCTCAAAATTGGTGAAGTCTGCGCTGTGGAAAGGACCCGGCTTAACGGCACAACTGATCATCTTCCTAACGACATTCACCTCGAAAAACCTACACCTATTCCTAACCTGCTTCCTCCACCCGACAGAATAACCATAAAAACTAGGACCAACACAGATAATGATCATACTGACACAATCCTAAGGCAGACCACACACCGGATATATACTGACGGTAGCAAACAAGAAGACGGAGCAGTAGGCGCTGCGTTTGTCTGCTATAATCCGTCTAACACTTTCCAGACTATAAATACCACCAAAAAATTCAAATTACATGACACATGCACGGTTTTCCAGGCTGAACTATATGCTATTCTACAAGCGTGCAAATGGGCCCACACAAACAAACACACTCATACCATCATCTTCACAGACTCACTCTCCTCACTCCACGCTATCCAGAACAGAAGCAACACACACCCCATAGTTACACAAATACACCACACAATACACACACACATGGGAACAGGGATAATTGAAATGGGATGGATCAGGAGCCATACGGGCATACCCGGAAACGAAGCCGCGGACTGTGCCGCAAATGCTGGCTCCAAACTACACAAAACACCCGACTACTCAGCTTTTCCAATCACATATCTGAAACACACTTATAAACTGAACAACCTCATAACCTGGCAATCTAGGTACCACAGTGCGGCACAGGGCAAACACACTAAATCACTACTACCGACATTGGAAGACATCAGAAGACTACGCAGTCTCGCCAAAACTACATTCAGCCTAACACAGTTTCTCACTGGACATGGATATCACAAAAGCTACCTACACCGCTTCAAAATATCAGACAGCCAAACATGCCCATGTGATAACACAACAATTCAGACGCTGGAACATCTTCTCGAGAAATGCCCAAAATTCGGTGCGCAAAGAACAAATCACATTTTACTATGCACAAATCTACAAGTACCACCATTTAATTTACTAAAAGTAATGGGAAAAGAATCTGCTTTAGACTCACTTACACAATTAATTAAAACAGTTATAAACAATCTCAAATCATTTAACAATACATAGTGCTCCAGAACAAATTATTATTACATTGTTTTGAATTCTTACTAAGAATATTCGCCTTAAAATTACTATTGTTCTTACATTCAATCTCTTGTTTTATTCTTAATCTTTATATAAATACATTGATTAGATACAAATAGTTGCTTAAAGAATTAGTATTGGTAATTAGTAATAAAAAAAAATTCTCTAAAAAAAAAAAAAAAAAAAAAAAAAAAAAAGAGTTAGAGGGAGTGAGTCACTCTGGACCCGTCAACCAGTGTTAGTTGCAAATATTAAAACAGGCATAACTCGGAAAGTATCGTACGTAGACGGACGGGGTTTTCAACATATGCGATAAAATTGTACCCTTTAGGAGGAGGACCATTGAAAGTAGACTTTTGGCGGCCATTTTGATCCGCCATTTTGAAAAATTTCAACTTGATGTAACTCCGTCAAAAATACGTCTTTTTGAGCGGGCTTTTCGGGTTGATTCAGGTCTAATAAAGCGCTACCAACCAAAATTAAAGACAAGGCTCTATATAGAGTCATTTTGTAAATTAGAGACAAAAATTTTGTTGACGGGCCGTGCCTTGTCTAATAAAGCGCCACCGAACATAATAAAAGACAAGGCCCTACGTAGAGTCATTTTGAAAAGTAGAGATAAATATTTTTCAAATTTTTCATTTTATTTCAATTTTGTAATATAAGAAGTAGTGCTTATAGTACTCTAAGACATATATATATATAAATACATATATATACATAAATATAGGTTAAAAATAGAATAAGCAGAGACAATTATTTACATATAAATAAATACTATATAAAAAACTGTGTTTGTAATAAATACAAACTATACCACAGATAAAAATAAAACAAAAGGTAAAGTGATATACATATTCACGGTTGCCTGCTTAAATTAACTAGAGTGACAATTATATAGAAAATTGACTAACACTACTTGATTGACTCCGCAGTGTAGGGAGTTATCCATATATAAATTCGGACTATCATTATATTTAAACAAGACTCTCCTAAACCTATACATATAGGAGAAACTTATTTAAAATATAATATTGTATATTTACAACTTTTACCATATAGACGTGTTCCCCTTAAACAATGTTCGGGATTAGGACTCCACATAAGAAAGGAAAGGCAGAAGAGAAAGACAAAACTCCCCCAAATAGAGAGGAGATGGCTGGACCATCTTCAAAAGAAGATCAAGTAAGGAGTAAAGTGAGGAGAAGTATCGGAGAGTGGGAAAATGAAGGAAGGGAGTCAAATCCCGAACCACAGGGCAGGACATCTAAATACGCCCCGGCAGTACGCACGAAGCAACTAGGGCCACCCCCCTCTAGTAGATTTTCACTGGAGGAAGAGGGGAGCCAAATGGAAAAGGAAGAGCCGAAGAAAAAAGACAGGGTAGCTGAAGCAAGAGCTTGCCTAAACAAGGCAAAGCTTTACTTAAATAGCGCCAGAAACTTAAAAACGGAAATAAAGAATGAGGTGATTCAAGTCATTGACCGTCTTTACCAACTAGTGAAGGAGGCCGAAGCAGAGAAAAAGCCAGAAGAGGTCAGTGAACAGAAACAGGAAATGGAAACACAAAGAAAAGAGCAAGGAATAGAGAAACAAAGAGAAAGGAAGGAAAGCATGGAAGAGAAATTAATTGAAAAGATGGAACAACATGGGAAGATCATAGAAGAAAATAGAAAGGAAATGATAAAATTAGGAGAAGCACTGAAGGAACATGATGTAACTCGCACCCCCCCCCCCCCCCTTTATTGTGTATATATATAATTAAACTTATATATTTTTTCCCCCATTATATGAATAAATCATATAACATCATTACGTGACCAGGATAATTTATTGATCTTTCTATAGGATCTTTCTAAAGGTAATAATTAGCCGTATAAAATATTATTGTGATCGTCATATTCGGTAGGACCTCATTTACGTTGTGTTTAATTAGTAACTTGATTCTTTTAGGTGGATCTTGGATAGATAAATATTCACTAGTCGTGGTATAAGCCAGAGATAATGCCAGATTGCTTTCTTATTAACTAATCCCGACTCGCTTGAGACGGGCTCAGAGTATATAGTATACTCCCTCTCACGCTTGTAAAGGGCTCACAATATAATTTTTAAAATAATATCCCTTCTCTCTTGAAAAGGGCTCACATCAATTTTACACACCCGATACAACAAGTCTACGGCTCCCCCACATTTTAAAAAAATGTAGGGAAGGCACACGGCTCCATGAAAACACTCACCAACGCCGTGTGCGGTGAGCGCCAACCAACATATTGCGCCCCCCCCCCCAGAAGAGGGACAAAAAGTTGGGGGAAAGGACCGAAGTCCATTGCAAAGCTGTTTTACCAGCATAAAGAGGGCTTGGCCCCTTGGCAGTGCGTAAGCACAAACTTTGACCGAAGTCGCGCATGTCAATGCGTGTAAACGTCATACAAGCCGACGACAAATCCAGTCTTCGTGAATGTACGTCAATACGGTTTTGGGCATGTGTTAAAGATCAGGCACTCTGGCCCTATGATATAATAAGCCCTCCGTAAGCGCCACCACTTTTGCCAGATCGCCGCGACTGCAGACGTGATTGTTAGTGTTTTGGCATCACCACCATTAAAAAGGTTAGCACGACATTTCGTCGCAGAGCGCGTAGCCCAAGGGTATGGTTAAAACGTTGCACGGCATCGCCGCAGCCTTGAGAGGTTTTCTCCCGCCAGCTACCATCCACATGAGGTAAACGCATATGCTCCACCAACCATTGAAATAGTCAGATATAGCCATAGTTGTGATTTTTATGTTTTGCCATCAGAAGGGTTTATAATTGGCAACATATAATTATTTGTCAGTGTCTCTGACGTTGAGTATAATGTATTTTCGATCAAGTTTGTCTCACCCACCAGCAAGTTGCCATTATTCGTTCGAACGGTGGGAACTTTACTGAGATTCGTTAATAATGATAAACGTATAAAGGAGGTCAGACAGTCTGCAGTTCCGTCATCAGGAACCCGACTTGGACAAATCTACTGAGATGTGCATCAAACCGAGACGCAGACTCGGCCATTATGAATAGCGTCGTCTCCCAAGCAAATGTCGCAAGACGCAATGTCACCAAATGCAACAGGCATCAATACAACTATCGCAGGTCAACACGCCAACATACAGCCTATCCGCATACACAGCAGACATCATCACCTCGAACCTCCGTCAACCAGAATCATACGATGCAATGATATTAGGCGCAGATCACCCCGCAAATACCACAAGACGCAGTACTGCATATAGCCGCATGCATCAATGTGACTATCGCGTAGGTGGCACACACCCTCACACCACACCAATACAACTCTAATCAACTTCAGCTCCAAAGTTTAGAATATACTCGGAACACACGAAGTGTCCAAACATACTCTTTCACGATCCGAATGATAGTCGACGTATCATAGCGTAAACACTAAGACGCCAACCACCAACGGACCCCCACCCAAGCCAAGTAATAGCCAACGTATCATAGTGGAATACACTAAGACGCAAGCCACCACCAGACTCCCCAAAGTCAGATGATCAGTCGACGTATCATAGTGCAACACACTAAGACGCCAACTACCACCAAACTCTTACTATGCCGAATGACAGCTAACGTATCATAGTGATGGTCACTAAGACGCCAACTACCACCAGCTATCGATGATATGTCCACTACTGAAGACATATCCATTCATGGTTCCACGTTTACCGTAGACCATATCGTCGTACAGAAGTACCACGCAACTCCATAGTAATATGTCTTATAAAGTCCCAAGTCATTCATTGCTCTTCATTATATTTATATATTCATTATTTTTTCTCTGAGCCTTCACATATTATTAATTTTATCCATTAGACCTTACTTCCATATGATATTGGTATGGGACGTTCATACAATGTACTTTGACTATAGTACTAAGAGTCGCGATCGACCTCTGTACTTACATATGTGCGGTCATACAAATGTGTCCCCGCACGGTACATATTACTTCCCTTAGAAATCACTAAGTATGGAATTGTATTTAATGGACATAATAGTGATCGTATCTTGCTATATTTTTAATAAATATCCTTTTTTGAGTATTTTAAGTGATTTTTAACTATTTTTTTATCAATTTTTGGTAATATCATTTTCTCATACTAACACTTATATTTCTTTAATTTAAGTATATATTATTAACTTTTATTGTGATTAAACGTTCTTAAACGTTTTATTTTCATCTTAATTGATCTTTATTATGACTTATTAATAATAATATTTATTATTATTAATAGGTCGTTACAATGAGAATAGAGAGATAGCGGTGCATACAAAAATGACATACGCAAATGTAACTGCCGGGACAAATACATACATACCACCGAGGCAAGCAGCTGCATATTCGGTGGCTGTGACTTCGGCGGACGAAATTGAAACTGGGGACCAAGTGGTGGATCGCATAAGGAAAGCAATAAATGCAAAAACAGAAGGAATAAGGATCGATTCAATAAGGAAAGCCAGAGATAGGAAGGTGATAATCGGATGCAGCAGTCAAGAAGAATTGACGAAAATTAAAGATAAAATAAATGCAAAAGGAACGCTACTAACGGCAGAGGACATAAAAAACAAAGATCCACTTGTCATATTGAGAGATGTTACGATGGATAACACCGATGGCGACATCATCAAAGCTGTAAGGAACCAGAACGAACACCTGCTGGGGGGAGTGAGTGAGGATGACCTACGTATGGAGGTCAAATATCGTAAAAGAACTAGAAACCCGCTCACTTGCCATATAGTAATGAGAGTGTCGCCACGGGTGTGGGCAGCTATGACAATGGAAGGGACGATCTTCATAGACCTTCAGAGAGTGCGGGTAGCAGACCAATCTCCGCTGATCCAGTGCTCACGGTGCCTGGGCTATGGGCACACAAAGAAACTCTGCAGTGAGACAGCGGATACGTGCAGCCACTGTGGAGGCCCACACCTCAGGACCGAGTGCGCTGACTGGACCGCCGGAGTGGAACCTTTGTGCAAAAACTGTACAAAGGCAAAGCAAGATAGAAGAAACCACAATGCATTTAGTGCAGATTGTCCGGTCAGGAAGAAATGGGATACCTTGGCGAGGTCGTCTGTAGCTTACAGCTAAGATGGCCCCCAAGAGATCCGAAATCCTGGCCGGCAACGGAGCGAGTCACGTTACTCAAGATACCTCCAAAACACGACCAGCCAAAAATTTTTCCGTTTCCGGCAAGGCAACAACAAGTGAATTGGAGACCTTGCAGATAATAACGGGACGTCGCTCACACACAGATGCAAGGAATAACTGGGGTATACAATTACCCGCACCTGAGTACAAGACCAACAAGATACAAGGCAAATTAGCGGCAAGGAGTTGCATATCATGCATGCAACACCCAATCTGAGATTGGAGTAAACCAAACTGCATAAAACTAAGCCACGAACATTGAAAGGAGGAACACAAAATACCATGAAGTATAACCAACTAGAACGACCTCTGCCTATACTGCGGAATAAAATTACTGGGCATAAAATGCATTTGCAATCTAATAATTAAAGTTTGGCAAACGGTAATAGATTTATCACTACCATAAATAGCAAAATAGATAAATAAAGCAATTAAAAGCAATTGTATACGTACACGTTGGATGTACATATCACAATGCTAGAATTAAGGAATTAGAAGAAATATATATAAGGTTAATTAAAGTCAGAAACACAAAATTGTAAAACAGAAATTTTAAAATAAAAATATGTAACATGCCCAAAAAATATTAGTGAGAAATAAAAGAAGTAGAATAAGTTTAAAGAATGTTGTGAAAACTAAGAAAGTAGAATAAGATTATCAACTGAGGCGTTATACAATGTAAACAATGAGATGCAAAAAAGATCCAGATGATGTATCGTAAATTAGGAAAGTAAGCAAAAATACATTGGAGATGAATGTAATACAACAAGAATAATGTTTAGTATATTGAGTAACAAAATTGTGTAATATAATGTAATAACAAGTAAGCAGTATAGCACTAGTAAATAGAATTAAGATAACAATGTAAGTTTAAATAATCTACAGATACATAAATTGTAGTAGCATATAAAAAATATAACTATGTGACATCACTGACATCGGCGACATCGGTGACGCCGGGCGTGCTGGTGACGCTGGCGACATTGGTGACGCTGGCGACTGGTGACGTTGGCGACACTGGTGACATTGGTGACACTGGTGACATTGGCGACACTGGTGACATTGGTGACGCTGGTGACATTAGTGACACTGGTGACATTGGTGACGCTGGTGACATTGGTGACGCTGGTGACATTGGTCACACTGGTGATATTGGTGACGCTGGTGACATTGGTGACACTGGTGACATTGGTGACGCTGGTGACACTGGTGACGCTGGTGACATTGGTGACGCCGGTCGCATTGGTGACACCGGTGACATTGGTTACGCTGGTGACGCTGGTGACATCGGTGACACTGGTGGCATTGGTTACGCTGGTGACATCGGTGACACTGGTGACGCGAGGCCGCGCCGGCGGGGACAAGTCATCAATCCCCCCCTACCATCCACCCCCTCACAGCTATAAATAGCAAAGCACAAGGCAGGACTGACTCAGTATCTCGCAGTAAACAAACCACAGCGCATCTGCACTGCCCCGGTGACGGGTCCTCGGTGGCATCGGGAACAGGCGTTGACGGTTCATTGGCCCCAGTTGACAACCACCTCTGCAGTGTAACCTCAGTCGATACCTAGTAGTGACATAGTGCTTTTTTGTGCTTTCTGTGATACTTGCAGTACAAACCACTGCATATCCAAGTGCTCACTGTGCCCAACCTCCCGGTGCAGGCCAATTGCTTCAGGACAATCATCCTTCAGACTATCTAAACAGGTAAACAAACACCATTACCCCCCCCCCCCCCCCCATATAGCCGAAGAACCGTCAACGGGCCGCCGTGGTCACCGGTGACTAGTCACCGGCGCCGACGGGGACTAATCAGCGTCAGGGAACATAACGCCCCAATTCACATTCATAGGGATATGACATTAACTTGCTGAGTACACACATGCACAGCACAATGGAAAACAATGACAACACACCCACCAACCTTACTCAAAGCCCTTCAACCTCAATCAACACACACAACCCTACACACAACCTAACACCACTCACCACAGACATGGATTCAGCTGCACGATTCAAAGAATCAATCTACTCCAGAACCCAGGCCATTTTGGCCAAAATTAGCGAGGGAAAAAGCCTCACCAAAGCAAATAAGGATCAAATTCTGCTACTCCTGGGAGAAATAAACAACTGCACTGAATCCTTCTGCAGTAACGTACATACTCAACCCAATTCCAATGAACTAAGCATCATAATCAAAGACACTATCCAAAATTAAATGACAAAAATACACAAATCAATGGAATCAATGAAACACGCACACACCCCATCTTACGCAAACATCACTGCCAATAAGGTAAATCCCCCCACTGTCCATAAACCACCCACTTACAAACCATCAATAATCGTCACCCCAAAAACACAAGTCACCAAACCATCTGAAACCCTACAACCTAAGGATAAAAACTTATCCCTATACTCGAGCCAGTGCTCATATGAACCGTCAAAGTTAGGCAGGACAATAGTGGGTAATTTAACCGATTGCAACTGAACCTTTTGATTAGTAGTAGCAATTAATGAAGAGTCAGTGATCTCGCCATTGTCTAGATTCAGCTCGAGCTAAAGTAGTATAGTACGAATTTTCAAAAATTTCCCGTTGATCTAACTGCTCGGGCAAATCACTATAGGGCACATTTTCTTCAATTTTAGTTTGAATAGCATTAAATTCTATAGCCAAACTCGCAGCCCCTTGTATCCGTAACTTTAAATCTATACGATTTTGATTGAAAAATTCATAATCACTGCTATTTAACGACTGTATGTAAGTTGTAAACTTGGTTAATCTGCCTTTAATAATTCCGCGTTTTCTAACTAATTCGCGAACTATTACACTATCACCCTCAACACTTAGAATGTTAGGCGATTTATCACGAGGTTTATCTGCCGGCATTTTGGTGGTCGGTGAAAGTAGGAGTACTTACAATATTAGTAGACAGGAGTTACGTTACTGTTGATAGCAGCGTCAGCAGTTGCGCCTATGACTACGTGTCAGGATGATGCAGCACTTTTATGCGCCCACTTCACTGAAATCAGTTCAGCACGGGTTCACGAAAAGAATAGGAAGGTGTTTAGGAAGAGAAAGGGTTGGTCTCACCAAATGCGCCTTGTAGTCGATGAACTGGCCAATCCTTCTATTCCAAGTTGCGCTTAGCCTGCAGCTGTCCTTCGTGTAAATTTCTCCAAATATGCGTATTCCTCCAGGAATGTAGCTTCAACGTCTACGTGATCCACCAGTCGCCGCTTAATTTGATTTGGCTCTGAATGACCAAAAAATGGTAATTTGGATCGTAGGACCAAAAAATGTTGATGCTCTCGAATAATGGGCGTGTAGGTTGACTGCGTGTCTACCTTCCTAGGCTATGGATCAGAATTAAAAACCGTGCGATCGTTATGAAAACTGTATTGCAATTAATCACTTTAAATGTACAAGATTCGAGGATAAGAGGGAGAGGAACAATTTTTAACGGTTATATTGACATTTGAATATGATTGGCCTAAAGTCCGGATTTAAATTTTATTGGGCGTCGATTGCACAGATGCGCAACGACACCTCTACAGCGCCACCCTGTTCGAAATCAGCGAACTTTGATCGCGAACATATTCGGTTATCTTTCATTATTCATCATTTTATTTTGTTATACGTTTCGGCAAAACATTCATATTGTATTTACAGGTAAAGATTGCAACGCAAATTTGCATTTTTTTTCTAACCTGAAAATGATAATGACTGATTAAAAACATGGATTCAATCGTATGGAGTAAATTTACTGATTTTGGATAGCCAAAAAGAATTAAACGTAAATAATTTACCAAACGGCACCAGACTCGAAATCATTCATAAAAAAGATTATAAAAAAATAGCGAGTGAATATTATAAAAAACTTAAGAGTCCGCAAAACATATTTCTGTATTTTATTTACTTTATCCAAAAGTAACATCTAGCAAGCTTGTATCCAATAACAGTTTTCTATAAAATGTTATCAAATATAAATAAAATAAATTTTATGTACACTATATAGAAAACTGTAGTTGAAATACAGCTCTCAACTGTAAAAACAAAATGGTTAATTAATACAGGGTACAGGTTATAAACATCTGAACTTGTAGTTCGTTCCCGCATCAAGAGATGGCGCTGTCTCACGAGGAGACTGATGACTCTGTATTAATAAAGTACTCTTTGGGCCCATGTATTTTTTTTTGGGCTGGATGAGCCACCGTTGGCCTGGGGCCTTTACAGTTCCGACGGGCTTGAGGTGGCCTGGCGCACGAGGCGCCTAGCCTGAACCTCGGGACACCCATGTATTTTTTTCTTTGGGCTGGATGAGCCACTGTTGGCCTTAGTAGCCTTTACAGATCCGACGGACTTCCTGAACCTGAGCCTGAACTTCGCGTATTATTATTACGCGTTATGGTGACTAAGCTCGAGGGCTCCCGAGGGAACCTCGGCTCGGGCCGTCACGCTATTAATTTTACCGGTTTGGGAGGCCGCCAAGCTCTTATGGCGCTTTGGCGGACGCTCCATCCTGATCACTCCAGGCTCAAGGGTCCCCGAAAGGGGACCTCGGCTTGGGCTGTCACTCAGGACGCGTTTAGCATTCCGATTCGAGGGTGCCCGAGAGGGCCGGACCTCGGCTCGATTGGTAGCTGTTAACTGACTGGGGGAATCTCTAGAGCTATCGTTACTACCACTTCGTAAAGCGTGCTGCGAAGAAGTGGCGGAAGAAACTCCAGCAACGCTTCTATCATTAATAGGGGAGAACCTGCCAGGTAGGTGGCGGAACCTAGTATATGTTTGCCGCACTCGCTGGCGAGTGCGATGTATATTGGTGTGCTTGCGTAGTTGTTTAATCCTTTCGATGGCGATAGTCATCTCATCGTCAGGGAAGTCGAGAACGTGTCGCGGTCTACGGTGATTGCGGCGGAACGTACCTAGCGGCATGGGTCTGTAGGTGGTGGCACCTACGATTAGCGGGTTGGGATGCGCGGCGGCGGAATCGAAATATCGGCGCGACGCCGACTTCAGGAATTGAGCGATGGTGGGCAACTCTAAATCGACATGTAGGTCGATGTTGCACATGAACCAGGGTGCTCCCGTGGCTCTGCGCAAGAATCGATTTCGGATGACCTGAAGCCGGTGTATTTGCTTCGGAGCAATGTGCGCGAAAACCGGACTCGCGTACGTCATAATAGGGCGAACTACTGCCTTATATAAGGTCACCTTGTTCCGAAGGGACATTTTTGACGTTTTGTTGAGATGCGGATGGAGGCGACCGAGTACTAGAAGTGGGCGATACAAATCGTATCAGATATGAAAACTAGATATTAGTACAATATCCGAATATCGCTTACTGGCTCGTTTAAAATCTATGTATTTTACAATATCTGATATTTCCGAAATCTGATATACCGAATACTCGCTCGCTCGCTATACCGACACGAATCGCGATATCATACGCGTTTACCACAATATCTGATTTTTAAACAGATTTCGAGAGACAAAGCGCGTGAGATACAAATACTCACTAGTTAGAGCGGGACGGCAAGCAATGCACGATATCAGATTTTAAACAGATTCCGAGCGACAAAGCGCGTGAGATATAAATACTCACTAGTTAGAGCGGGACGGCAAGCAATGCACGATATCAGATTTTTAAAAAGATTTTGAGCGACTAAGCGCATGAGATACAAATATCACACTAGTTAGAGCATACGGCAAGCAAGGCACAATATCAGATTTTTAAACAGATATTATGAATAAGTTAAGTAATTTTGAATCTTAATACTATGCAAATAAGATCGGTTTTAATTAAATACTAATCATGGTATCAAAGATTACTACAACGATATTATTATATTATTTTTTTTGTTTTGTTTAGCCTTGAGCCGTAACGGGCGACAAAGCGCGCAGTTAAGTAATTTTGAATCTTAACAGCATGGAAAAAAATTCTGTTGCATTTAAATACGAATTACGGTATTAACGATGTCTTTAAATTTTGTTTAGCCTTGAGCTGGATTGCATTGGTACCAAGCACGTAATAGTAAGGGATGCCAACATACTACTTAAGAATGTCCTGCCTAAATTAAGGAAGAAAAATATACAATGGAAATTTTTTAGGAGGTAAATTTTTTGTGAATATTTTTATTAGTTAAATTTTATTTATACTTTTGGAAAAAAATAAAAAACTACACAAAAAAGAAAAAATATAATTTAATAGTGCTGTGCTGCTAGGGTGGAAATTAGACCAAGGCTTATGTGCTTTGTGTGTATATTTTAAATTCTTCCGCCCTAAGTTATAATACTGAATGTATTATTTCTTACACAAATTATAAAAATATTGTCACTCATGATTGCGTGTTCTAAAAATATGTTAAAGTCAATTATTAAGCGATATATAAGATGT